GGTGTCATTCCTATGCTTGAATGTTGCATTTTATTATTGTAAGTTATTAATATTTCAAAATTATAATCTATCCATTGTATATTGTCCTTTCCTTCTTTTTCATCTTTTTCAACCCTTTTATATAACATATCTTTGTAGGTGCGTAAAAAAAGTTCCGCAAAATTAGGGTGTCCTCTTGATCTGTATAATTCTATGCCTTCTTAATTGATTTAATCTTCAACTGATTTATTATATAAACTGCCTTCCTCGTCGCTATAAATAATTTCTGGTTTGCCTTTCATTTTCTGCATTCCTTCCATTACTCCCGCTAATATGTCAGGCGGTTGTTTTGATTTAATAGGTGTTACCGTGATGCGCTTGTTCATTACTCTGCATACCCCTTGACCTCTTGCATGATGCGCTTGTTCGGCCGAGGATTCGCCCATAGCTCAGTGTTGTGACGCAGTGATGGCGCGACAACGTCCTGTACATCGCCGGCATGCTGGGCCCTGTCTTGGCTTTTCGCTGTGGGATAGAGCTCAGGGTACAGGCTCTTTGGGTCCTCACATCCTGGCGCGCCGTCACACGCAAGTCTTGAGCGATCTTGCTGGTCTGCGAGACCATTCATGTTTATGGGTGCAAGCGTCGCGCCTATATGCCACTCCTCTGCTCAGGCTGCGCCGCGATGCGCCGCGTGTGGTTGGCGATCTCAATTTGGGAAAGCCAGTGCTCATCAGCAGCGTCGCTCAGCAGCACTGCAAATTCGATGGCGGGAGCGAGCTGCCTTTGCTGCGTGACGGGGAGATCTTCATGCAGGAGCAGAAGCAGCTTCTGGATGCTGCCACTGAACCAGTGGCGCAGGCCTTGCTTGCAAGCCAAGCCTGCTCGAGCAGCTGCAGGGTCTAAAAACAGCATCCCGATCCGCATGCTGCCAGTCGCTCAAACCCCAGCTTACCGGCTGCACTGACTGCCAAAGCCAGACAAGAGGCAGATGCCGCAGCTTGGCGAGAAGCTTTTTGTCAAGCAGCTTGGCTGTAGTGTTGGCGGAGGCGAGGTAACGTGTTAGTCGAGCGTGCGCGCGCCTGCGTCTACTTCTGTGTTTTTGTCGGTCACGGGTGGTTGGGCGGGCGCGTGGGTGCGTGCGCGGGCATGTCTGCGCGTTTACATCTGCACGTTTGCGCGCATGTATTGTTGACTAAGCTTTGCTAGAGTGAAGCACCTGGTTGTTTGCTTGCATACGATGATACCAGTTGCTGAGGATTTGCGCATCTTGCCATGTGCAGTGACTCTTGCGTCAAGTGCTCCGACGCCGGGTCTCCAGGACTCAAGATCTGTCGGCACGGTTTCTGCGAAGGCTGTCGCTGCGTATCTTTGCAGCAAGGCAGAGGCAGAGTTTGGCACGCAAGGGCAGCTGCGTCCCCCCAGCTGACGCCGTTGAGGCGCAGACCAGTTATGGCGGTGTAGCTGCCGCTCTGGACCCAAGTCTCTGGCTGCGTGGGCTACATGGCGCTGTACGAGTGGAGTGGCTCAGACTATGAACAGCGATCACCACCACGCAGTACGGGAGCCCCTGTGTCCTGGCTTTGTCACCGTGGTCAAGCTAAGTCATTCCGAAAAGCTTGGCAGCAAGGCCTGAAAGCAACTTGACGCCTTTCTTGCAGACTTTGCTGCGGCGCGGTCGCATCTTTGGACATGTTCAGGTGGACACCGATCTGGGGCTGCTTCGTGCTCGGGTCCTTATTGCGCTCAACGACGTCCAGCTGCTGACGAAGAAGCTCTTCAGCAAGATCCACAGTCACTTCTTCCACGCTCTCTCACGGTTTTCGCTTCTTCCATGTCTGTGACAGTCGCTGTCCGTCGGGGTTCTTTCTGGTCACGTCTTCCGCATCGCTAAAGTTCTTTCTTCCACGTCGCAAAAGTTCTCTGTCTGTCACGACTCTCAACGGTTGATTTTTCCGTGTCTTTTAAAGTCTCTGTCCGTCACGGCTCTTACAGGTCGCGTCTTCCACGATGCTAAAGCCCTGTGTCTGTCACGGTTCTCAACAATCGCTTTTCCATGTCATTGAAAGGCTCTGTCCGTCACGGCAATCTCTGGCAGAAACTTTCAAGAACATGGTTTAAAAACGGCCGTTGAGAACCGTGACAGAAAAGAACTTTAGCGATGTGGAAGAAATGACCAGTAAGAACTGTGACGGACAGAGACTGTCAACGTGACGGAGCGACTTTCCAAGACATGGCAAAGCGACCGTTGAGACCCGTGTCAGATAGAGAACTTTGTCTGTCACGGTTCTCAACGGTGCTTGTCCATGTCTTTGAAGGTGTCTGTCCGTCACGGTTCTTACTGGTCACTTTTTCCACGACAAGCCTGTGGCGCTTCTCTTGGTCGGCTTGCCCATGTCTCTTAATGTCTCTGTCCGTCACGGTTCTTGCTGGTCACTTCTTCCACGTCGCAAAACTTATCTGTGTCACGGTTCTCAACGGTGCTTTTTCCATGTCTTTGAAGGTGTCTGTCCGTCACGGTTCTTACTGGTCACTTCTTCCACGACAAGCCTGTGGCGCTTCTCTTGGTCGGCTTGCCCATGTCTCTTAATGTCTCTGTCCGTCACGGTTCTTGCTGGTCACTTCTTCCACGTCGCAAAACTTATCTGTCTGTCACGGTTCTCAACGGTGCTTTTTCCATGTCTTTGAAGGTGTCTGTCCGTCACGGTTCTTACTGGTCACTTCTTCCACGACAAGCCTGTGGCGCTTCTCTTGGTCGCCTTGTCCATGTCTCTTAAAGTCTCTGTCCGTCACAGTTCTTGCTGGTCACTTCCTCCACGGCACTAAACTTCTCTGCCTGTCACGGCTCTCAATGCTCGCCTTTTCCACTTTGCTGAAAGTCTATGTCCGTCACGGTTGGTCACTTCTTCCACGTAGCTAAGTCTGTGTGTCATGGTTCTCAACGGTCGCTTTTTTCCGTGCCTGGACAGTCTCTGCCTGTCACAGTTCTCAAGGGTCGCTTTTTGCATGTGTGTTCTCCTGGTCACTTCTTCCACGTCGCTAAAGCTGTCGGCTTGTCGCGGTTCTCAACGGTCGCTTCTTCCACAAATCTCGATGTCTCTGTCCGTCACGGTTCGTACTTGTTACTTCTTCCACATTGCTGAAAGTCTCTCTGTCAGCTTTCCTTTCCGATCACGTCTTCCACGTATTGAAAGTTCTTTGCCTGTCACCGTTCTCAACAGTCGCTTTTCCATGCCTTGCAATGTCTCGCCCGTGACGGTTCTCAACCGTTGCTTTTTGCATGCGGCGTCGCTAAAGTTCTCTGCTTCTTCAGCTGCGTTCTGATAGTCTTCGACATCAGAGGCAACTTGAACTTCTTCGGCGGCGGCTGCACTCGTCCGCAGTGGAATGTTGCCCACCTGCAGCTGGGCTTCGCCCTGCCGCTTCGGCAGTCGAGCTTAGCCCTGCCGTCGCGGAGCTTGCCTGTCCTGGCTCAGCAGCTGGCTCGCATCCACCGGAGCGTCGTCTTGACTGACACAATTCTCAACGGCTGCCTTTTCCATGTGATTAAACTTCTCTGTCCGTCAATTGGCTGACTGGCCACTTCTTCCACGCAACTAAAGTTATCCGTCAACAGTCGCTTTCTGCATGTCTCTGAAAGTCTCTGTCCGTCACAGTTCTGAACGGTCGCCTTTTCCATGTCTTTGTCAAGTCTCTGTCCGTCACGGTTTTCTTACTGGTCACTTCTTCCATGTCGCTAAAGCTCTTTGCCTGTCGCGCTTTCAAGTATCGGTTCTTCCACGTTGCTAAAGCTGTTCTGTCTGTCACGGTTCTTGCTGGTCACTTCTTCCACATCGCTAAAGTTCTCTGGCTGTCACGGTTGTCAACGGTCGCTTTTTGATTGTTTGGTCACGGTTCTGACTGGTCACTGCTTCCACGTCGCTAAAGTTCTGAGCCTGTCCCGGTTCTCAACGGTTGCTTTTCCCATGTCGTTGGAAGTGTCTGTCCGTCACGCTTCTTACTGACCACTTTTTTCACGTCGCTAAAGTTCTCGATGTCTGTCACGGTGCCCAACGGTCGCTTTTTCCATGTCCTTGAAAAGTCTCTGCCAGTCACGGGTCTGACCGATCGCTTCTTCCACGTCGCTAAAGATCTCTGTCAATGTGTTTGACAAGTCTCTGTCTGGCACGGCTCTTACTGGTCACTTCCGCCACATCGCTAAAGTTCTTTGTCTGTCACGCTTCTCAACGGCTGCTTTTTCCATATTTCTGAAGGTCTCTGGCCGTCACGGTTCTTACTTCTTCCACGTCAATTTCTCTGTTCGTCACGGCTCTCAACGGTCGCATTTTCCATGCAACTGGAAGTCTCTGTCCGTCACGGTTCTTACCGGTCAGATCTTCCACGGAAAGTGCTCAAGCCGTCACAGTTCTCAGCAGGTTTGTTGCGGTCTTCCACGCGCTCACGTTCTCCGTCTGTCACGGTTTTCAACGATTGCTTCTTCCATGTCTTTGGAAAGTCTCTATCTGGCACGATTCTTCCTGGTCACTTCTTCCACGCTGCTAAAGTTCTCTGTCTGTCACTGTTCTCAACAACCGCTTGTTGCATGTCACTGAAAATCTTGTCAAGGCTTTGACTGGTCACTTCTTTCACGTCGCTAAAGTTCTCTGTCCGTCTGTGTCCGTCACGGTTTTTACGGTCACTTCTGCCACGTCGCCAAAATTCTTTGCCTGTCACAGTTCTCAACGGCTTTTCCATACTTCCGTCACGGTTCTTAGTTGAAAGTCTCTGTCCTCACTTCCTCCACATTGCGAAAGTTCTCTGTCTGTCACAAGTAGTTGAAAGTCTCTGTCCGTCACGGTCCTTACTGGCCACTTGCTTCGGATTGCTGCACCTGCTGGTTTCTTTGCAGCTTCTGCATGATCTTGCCGGGATGGCCGCAGGCAACATTTGCCCTCATCAAGCTCAAGCCCAAAATGGCTGATCTAACAGCGGAATAACGTAAGGAAACCATACTCCTGCGCATTGCACCCTGAGCGGAGCACGATGTTCCGATTTGAACACTGAGCATGTCCATCTGGCGCTGGAGCTGCTGGTGCAGCGCTTGAAAGCTGTCTGGCAACCTGACGAGTTCGCGCAATATCGCCAATGACGCAAACTTCATGAGATCTCATAAGTGCTTCTTAAGTGTTGTAGCACAATGCAAGCGCAATGTGGGCCAAGTAGCGCTTCGGCTGAAGAGTTTACTGCGGCGGTGGCGCGACGCTCTGCATGAAACAGCTGAGTCGTGAGGTCCTGCAACGCATGTAGCAATGAGCATGGTATGTCTGCGCATATCATGTAACACGCGTCTTTCTTATTTCCAGCATGTTGAGAATACTGTGACGACACAAGCTGGGATATGGCAGATCAATGCCAACAGGCCTTTACCTGTCTGGCATTCTCCGTCCGCTCCAATCGCAGCCTCACATTGCGTCCAGCGCCAGTCCAGCGACATGCAGTTAGCCACTCAGCCCTACTCATCTTGGGCGCAGCCTCCGGAGTTCTCTCTCGGCATCTTCTGCGCGGTGGAGAATGGCCGCTCCCTTGGCTGCCTTCGTAGCGCTCTAAGACATTCAATGACACGCAATGACCCTCATGTGAGACTCACATGACCGTCGCATGATATTCATACGCTGTGGTATGATACGTTGTTCGAAGCGCAGGCACTCGGAAGGTTCTGGCCTCAACCCGTACCTCTGTCAGAGCAGATCGGAGCGTTGCAGACTCGGCCGCACGTGCATGCTCGGCCGCGACGTGCATCTGAGCGTGAATGGCTGAGCTCCGTTTGACGCCATGCCAGCGCCTGTTGGAAAGCTGCCTCCTCCTTGCTGAGGTCACTTCGAAGCCCAAGTGCCTTGCCAATTGCCAGACAGCAAGCAGGCAGCCGGGCGGCGGGAACTGCAACTGGCGCAACAAAGCAGCTGCCAGGCACAGCCTCTTTGCGCATAGCTGCAGCTTCCACTTTGAAGGCAGAAGCCTGGATCCAAGAAATGATAAGAACATTGCAAACGCAGCGATCAAGTGGCATAGTTGGCTCATGTAACATGGACATGCCGCCTCTGCCGCAGCTGCGTGGAAGAAGCTCTCGTGGCTCTGCACAGCACGTGCTTCCTCCTCGGACAGGGAAGCACACCCTGAAAGACGCTAACGGCATTGCCAACTCTGCTTTTCCGTCCGCCCCGTAGATCCCATCTTGAGCGCTCAAGCCACAAAGCCCCGCGCCCCCCTGTCACCCGAGTCACCCGAGTCACCCGAGTCACCCGAGTCACCCGGGTCACCCGGGTCACCCGAGTCCCTGCCATGTGCTGCCATTCCCGAAGCCTCCCGTGCCGAGAGAGCCGCGCCTTGCGGCTGGCATCGAGGGCTGTCGTCTCGGCGCTCTCGCCCTCCGCCCACGCGCGGGCCTCCCCGAAATAAAACCTCAGCGAGGGCTGGGGCAAACGGCAAACGCGGCGTTCAAGTATGTTCCAAGTATGTTCCATGTTCTTCAGTAGCTCAAACTCACTCTAACTCACTCATTCGACACATTCCGAACTCCGACTCGGCCGCCCAGACCAATTGGCTGCCCGCAGCTCAGCGGCTCTCGCGGACTTCTCCTCACTCGAACACAGGGCACAGGGCACGGGGCTGAGCGACTCGAGGCCCTCAGGCCACTTGATTCCCTCGATGCGGCATCCTGCAGAAGCTCCGCGCGCGCTTCGGCCGCTTCGACCTTGGGCTCGGGCCATCGAATCGGATCATCCCCGAGCTCCGAACTCCGAACTCTGAACTCTGAGCTCGCCTTCTCGTCCGCCAGAGCGGCCAAAGCCTCGATGAATTCCGCATGTTTCTGGTCTCTAATTCGCGAGGGGGGAAAATTCGGAAAGCGCGCCTTCTCACCTTCTTGTATCAGCCGCAAAGCTGCCTCTGCCTCTGCCAGGCGCTCAGCAGACACGTCAGCCTGGCCATGTCAGTTCATTTCAATTCCATCGATGCTCGTCTCTCTGACTCCGTGTCTTTTTCTTCCCTTCTTCCCTTCTTCCCTTCTTTCCCTTCTTCCCAATCCCCTTTTGGCAAGTGGCAAGGCGCGAGAGACGATCAAAGCAAAGGGACATGTGAGACGAAGTGAAACTTGGGTGACACGCTCAAGGCAAGACACTTTGGCCAAGTTTTACCAATCTGGGGCTGCACCGGTCTCAGTCCTAGACCTCTGCTACTAGCTGCCTCAGTCCACGTCAATCAAGTTGCACGCACTTATGTTTGCAGTTGCCTGTGTCTGCCGGGTGGCATGTTCTTATCGCGCTGCTCAAGCGTACGGTCGACCAGCTCAAGCAAGGGCTTGTTCAAGGCCACCTCGCAAGTCCACACTTTGGTCTCCGACGTTTTCTTCCTTTCTTCCTTTCCATTTCCTCTCATTCTTTCCTCATTCTTTCGGTTTCCTGACGTTGGTTTCCTTCCCTTTCTCGTCGCGTTCTCCTGAATCGATTTCGTCTCCTTCGTCTCCTTCGTCTCCTTCGTCTCTCGGGCCTCCGTGTTGGACATCTCGATGTCCCGCTGCGCCGCCTTCCACTCCATCCTGAGCCATGCTGACATCTTGACATCCCGAGCGCGAGCTTGTGCATGTGAGGGCATGAGGCACTGGACATGACCAATGTGACCAGCTGGCCGAGCTGCTGCTTGATGATTTCTTTCTGGTTTGCAAGGCTGCGGTCTCTCCTGTCAAGCACCTGGCATGGTTTGCTGCGCAAAGCACGCATGCGTGCTGTGAAATCACACCTTGCTTCTCTGCGATGCGATGACAATGCGAAGCGCAAGCAAACCAAAAGGACTCAAGGCTGAAAGGGAAGAACCAACCCGCCCGTTCATGCCATTTTGGTCTTGCAAGATCCTACCCAATGTCTTTCCGCCAAATACGCTGCATTGTCGCCGCCAAATACACTGCAAGAGGTGAACAATGCAAACGGTCAAATCGGCCTTCTTCTTTTCCACCGTGTGGAATTCGTCTGCGTCACGTTCCATGATCTGCGCCTTGTCATTTCAAACATGACTTGAGTATGCTGAACACGGTGCCGCTTTTGCAGCTTGCTCACCCCCCCCCGCCCGCCTGGATTTCTGCCAAGTACCTCACGGAAGCCATTAGGAATCATTCGGACCCCAGGGGCCCAATAGAAAGAAGGATGCAATCAGAAGCATGGGACGACATCACAAGCATTGGCACTTGTCCTCATCCTTTCTACCGTCTTTCTCCTGCATCTGCTTCAGCCTGAGCGGAAACTTGAGAAACAGGAGCGGTCAGGCATGCCTTCCGGTCGCGAGTGTTTGAGTAGTGATTTCAACCACCTGCGCCTGGAATCAGTAAGCGCAAAATCCTTTCTTCCTACGCCCTGAGCCAACCACCCGCTTAGGACTTTAATTTAACGACTGCTTCCTTGACGCAAACACACGCTTGACAGGTGCATCAGCCAACTACCAGCACCTTCCAGCAGCTTCCGCTTTGGGGCACTGAATTGGCCACAACCTAGTCATCCTCCCATCGCAAAGCGCATCGGGAGATTGCCATAGTCCGAGACCGCATCCGCAAATTCAAAAGATGAGCCATCGGTAGCCATCGGTAGCCATCGGTAGCCATCGGCAGCCGGGCACAGCTCTCCGCTGACACCTTGACTCGCCTAAATGGTGAGGTCCCTCAGGTCCGGCCATGCGTGCGGCCATGCCTGCCCCGGGCTAGCGTCATGTCTGGGCGAAACCACGCCGATTGGCGACTGGACAGTCTCGAGCAACTCCCCAGACCTGCAACGCACTGAAGCCCAGCCGCTGCGAATCAGGAAAAAGAGCAAAACAGTTCGCAGCGGTGTATTATTCTCTCTGTGTCTGGGAAATTGGCGATGATGGCGCCTGCAACACATCAGGAACGTCAAAGGCGCAAAATCGTCAGTGACCCTTTACCGCCAGCTTGGCCGTAGCGACTGTAGAATGATTGCGGGAGTATGTTCCGTAGCGAAGGCAAGGCTCACGCCTTCTGTTGCCCCTCAGGTTCTCGTCATCGGTGACAACAGCTCCAACTTCCTATGCGTTCGCTCGTTGCGCTTCTCAAAGACACGTGTGCACGAAGACGTCCGCAGCTCCAGCAACGTTTCAGGGCGTCCGACCATCCGAATACAAAATCGAAAGCTTTTAGGGGCAACGTGAGCGTCCGTAGGTAGCTCCAGCTACAAGCGAACAGGAACAGTTTCAGCTGCAGCTCCTACGCGAAATAAATTTTGGCGGCTCCAGCTTCAGCGGGGCAAGGCAAACGCTCTGGTCCGAGGAAGTGTGCACAGAACAATCTCTTTCAACATGTCATCATCGTTTTTGAGCTATCGAGTCTGGCCGGTTGGCGAGAACACAAGGACCAACGGGGTGTGTACAAACAGGGGTCCGTGTACAAACACTTCCGCAGCCCCAGCTACAAAATCGCAACCGATCGCAACATGCCCCCGCCCCCACTTAATGCATGGGATGTTCCTTGTTCGTAGCACCCGTGCCGCTGTCAAAGGCCATTTGCGACTGGGCTCGGCACAAGTAGGCCTGGTTCTCTAGCCGCATTTGCTTTAGCCTCGACGCACATTTCTGCGGCTCTTTGCTCCACTCAAGGCGTACAAGCGCCAAGCCTTTGCTGCTTCACAGCTTCTGCTTCAAAATGATGCCTTCGAGAAGGCCCGGGCACCACGTCTCATGAAGGGAACCAGCCTAAGCCGCAGCCGCCAGCCTGTCTTGTTCTTCCTGCTGAGCACGTGCTCGCGAAGCATCGGCATCACCAGACTCTTGCTTGATGGAGGTCACGTTCTCCTTGAGGTGAGGGGCTTCTCGAACAAGCAAATGCAAGCAAGAATGCAATCACTGTCTTTTCGTGAAATGCGACGGAGCCTTCAAGTTCCGAGCCCATTGCTACCTTATTTTGCCGTCAAGTGTTCTTCTTGATCTTGAAGGGCACTCACTCCCTCTACATGTTTCCCCTTGCGGGTCGCTTTTGGGGCCTCTCGCGCCTGACTTGCTGACTCTCCACCTTTTCGCCCGGCCTGCAGGCTCTTCATGAGCTGCGCCTGTCGCTCCATACCTGGTGTTCTGCTTACCCCCAGAACCTCACGTATGTATATATATATATATACATGTATGGTCGCCCCCTGTTAAACTCAAAGTCTGTGCGCTGATGTTTTTTACCTGTGAGGGACTGCGCGGCCGTGTGGCTCTTTTGTGCTGGGCAATCTGCGCTAGGCTGTGATAGGCTCAAGGCCTTGATGTGCAAAGGCATCGAAGGGAATGTGCAAACTGTCTGTACGGGCAATGATATGTTTTAACACTCCTCCTCGGATTGTAGACATCTAATCTAGTGTGCAATACGAAAACCACGCTGTGCAAATCATCTTCGCTTCTCAGAATGTAGGAAGAAAAGTTGACCATGTGCCAGGCCAGTGTTCTGTGCAACTGTGTTCCTCACTGTGCAGATGATCTGTGTCAAAAGTCCGGAGCGCCATTGTGGCAAATGCATTTCACTGTGTAAGCAGTGTCGTTCCCTGCTTGACCGCTGTGATGAACTCGGTGTAGGCCTTCTTCTTGTTAGCAGCATAATGTGTGTAAAACAAGTGCTGCTGTTCGCGGATGTAGTTGAGGTGATCCTTGTGGCCGGGCATGGCTTCTGCATCCAGCGCGCCCTTGGCCTTCGTGTTCGGAGATGTGGCGAATAAGTGTAACCTGATGTTCAACTGGCAGGCGCTTGATGTTTTTGACGCTCATGATGCACAATGCCTCCGCCGCTGTAGCATGCCTGTGCCTGCACGTGCTGTGAGACCACATGTATCCACTGTCCCAGTTGTACTTCATGCGAAGGCCGTCCGGTGTCTGCAGCCATGTCTTATTCGAATGCACCTGCGTGTGGATTGCGCTGTAACCACGCTTGGAAAAGCTGATGTACCCTCGGGGTGCTGCGCGTGGGATCTGGCCCAACCATGAATGTACCTCAACTCACCATTTGTAGTCCACGATGTGAACTCCCCATGTTGGTCTTAGTGTGGGTGGTGTCCAAGTGACTGCCATCCAATGTGCGAAGGCGCTGTTTACACGTGATGTTATCCTCAATGTAGTCCATGGATGTGAGACTCATTGTGTCCGATGTCCTTGCCACTTGCGCTGCTGTATTAATTGTGTAAAGTTCTGATTCTGCTGATGAAAGTGCGATTGTTGCTTGTGTCTTGCTGCCATAGTGTACTGCTGCTCTAAAGTCTCTAAAGAAGTATAACACAAATCCTGTTGCGCTCTTCCTTGTTGTCTCGCATGGTGCCCAGTTAACATCTGTGTGCGTGTCAATGTTGAGTGGAATTCGCTTGTCCTGTATTTGCATCTTTGGTCGCAAGTGTCGCAAGAGTCGCGTGTACTTTTTGCTTTTAAGATGCCTGATCATGGACGTGAGCTTCTTGTTGTCAAGTTGTTTGTGTTGGTGCTTGTATTGATCTTGCTAGTTCCTTTGCTCCCTAGCAAATGTCAGGTCGCGCGTGCGCCACTGCATTTTGCCAGCAAGCCGCCGGTGCTGTTTGTGCTTTTCGTAGTCGAGCGGTGCTTAATCCTCTGCTGTATCTTTCATGCGTGACACTCATGTAGTCATTGCTGACTCTTCCAGGGTTGTTGCCTTTGTGAAATGGCTTTGTTTAGCCGCCACATTACATGTCTGTTTTCGGCGTCCTAGAACTCGTGCGGTGGTCTCATTACCAAGTTGTATGAGATTGCAGAAATGCAACACTCACATCTCCTGTACAGACTGACCAGTTGTGCACCAATGCCATTGCTGGCAAAGAGTAGGTCGTGATCTGTAACGGGTTCTGTGTAGCAAGTCGTGCTCGTGCTTCATTGTTCTGATCGAAAACCCATCTTGATTCAACGGTTTGCTCGTAGTTCTGGTGTCATTGTGTTGTACTTCGTTCTTCATCC